TAGAATCAGGCCAAGTTTGGATCTGTGATCTGCTAAGTCAGAGTTGAACTTGTAGGTAGGGCAGCTCCTACAATAAACATTGTGGGAGCCATCACAACAGGAACATGTGCATGATTATGCAGAGTAATTTGAATTGTCATGGCTAAGTAAGGCAGGCTGTGGAGCAACAGTGTTTGGTAGAGTAGCCAGAATGGTAACATTTGACATTAATGCAGGAGGGACTTATATGGCAGGTAAGGCAGAACTAGAAAGAAACAGAAAGAGAAAAAGGAAGGGTCCCAGTCTCTGTCTTCTAAGCTCCCCATAACAACAACAGGCATGAGATTGGGGGGGATTGGTTAATGGTCAAAACATATAAATGTAAATAAATAAGTCAAAGGTCATGTAGTACTATGGAAAAGCATTGTGATTAAAAGGGTAAAAATGAGTTAGGGCAAATAGATTAGTAGATGCCATGGAAATGGTAGAGATTGGAGTATCTGGATTAGAATGGCAAAAGAATTTGACTGTAAGAGAGAGGGGGTACAGGTAGGATGGTATGGGCTGGGGAGATACTGGGGGAGATGATTAAGCATCTTGAGAAGATGGGAGGACAACATTGGAATAGGTAGTGAGAGAAAACCCTCATTGGCATGCTTTCTCTCTGGCCTTGTGTAGAATCAGGCCAAGTTTGGATCTGTGATCTGCTAAGTCAGAGTTGAACTTGTAGGTAGGGCAGCTCCTACAATAAACATTGTGGGAGCCATCACAACAGGAACATGTACATGATTATGCAGAGTAATTTGAATTGTCATGACTAAGTTAGGCAGGCTGTGGAAAAACAGTGTTTGGTAGAGTAGCCAGAATGGCAACATTTGACATTAATGCAGGAGGGACTTATATGGCAGGTAAGGCAAAACTTCTGTGGGCTCTGGGAGGAATAGTGTAGCACAGTACTGCATCACAGAATGAGGCAGGCAAGCAGGTCATTTTTATAGTCTTACCAATCCTTGTTGTATACAGGGCAGGAATAAGTTTGCCAGTGAGTCAGCCAGAGTAGATAATGCACAAATTTGGGACTCGAATGTAACTGTGACAAGGCAAGAACAGCTGTGGAAGAAAACTTTGCTCACTTGTTTTTGAAAACATTGTTGGAGGAGGAGGGTACTGTAAGTGAGGAGGGTGTAGAAAATGAAGAATACTGTACAGGAGGAGGAAATGGCATGGAGGATGTCGGGAGAAAGGAAGGGATGTATTCTGAAGGTTGAGTAATAGCCTGTATTATGATGGAATGGATCAAGTTGACAGCATGCATGGAGGAGGGGGTAGCAGTAGCAGTGGGCAGAGTTGTGATCAAAGGAGAGACAGATTGGAATACCGAAGAAGTCAATTTTGGATGAAGGGACAAGCCTCAATCTCCCCTGATAAGGATGCAAAATCTTTATTATTGGCCATGGTGAGCCTGAAATACATGGGTAAGGGAAACAGTTTAGCCCTCAGGGTCCCCATAATGGATAAAGGCTAGATGATTAACCAGGAAAATACTGTGCCCATGGCTCCCTGGGGCCATTCATGACTGGCACAAAGCCAGCCTTTCAACCAGTCAGCATGGCTCTTCTATCTCTGGAAGTGAACAGAAGAAGGGGTTGTAGAAGAGAAAGAAAAGGAGAGGGATAGAAGAAAAGACCTTGCAAAATTAGTCATACCAAGGGTGGAGGCCCAAGGCAGGGGAAGATCCCCAACATTGGGCCTCATCCCTCATCTCCAGAAACACACATGGGATAGGGGGGAATTCTCATACTTGCAAAAATAATTTGAACTATCAGTTAAAAAATACACACATCTTCATATATCTGTCTGCATATCTGTATACACAGATACAAATGCCAATATTAAAGGATACATCCTTTGACTACATTTTCTGGAGCAGTGTAGTCCCATTTCAGGTGAGAAATCTGTGTGAACGTGGTAACGTCAGCCCTAAAATACAAAAACTGAGATTAGTAAACCCTAGAAAAAGACAAAATAGAAAAGGATTTTCTTTTTATACTATCTGTACAAACCAAGTAACACCAAAAAAGTCAATCATTACTGGAAAACTGGCACAAATGTTGAAGGAATATTTACTAACTTGATTTTGGGTACGACAGCTGTGGTATGTTTACTAGAGGATTTGGCCCTCTGCTCCAAGGAGTGTTCCAGCTGTTCTGTGTGGCTTATGCTTCCAGCCAGTGATTTGATTTCCTCTTCTATTTCCTCCTGAAAGATGTTTGCACATGCTAATAATATGCATGTAAGCCATTTATTACCAACAACACAATAGACATTCCAAACTGCAAATATAACCTACTGGCAAGCACATACCATCCTTCTCTTGGCCTGGGCAATTTGGGAAACCACCTGACTTGCTCCTGGACCTAAGGTTTCAGACCGGAGTTCATCAAGGGCATTTGATTCTGCTTCCTCAACTTGCAGTAGGTCTGTCAAATCACAAATAATTAAACTGTGAAAGTGTCTTTGCTGAACCACATTTCAGAGCGTGCAGATCGAGACCTACTATACTGCTGTGGTATCATTACTGTCTACTGCATTATAGTATAGTCCTCAACTATACAAGACAACTGGGGTTAAGTAGCTTTTATGTCTACTTCAATCCACAACACCTCATAATTGTTCAGATTGTATACAAGAGACTTATCTCCTTTTAGAGTATTAAGGCATAGACTATTATGGAGGTAAATAAAGTAAAAAGAATGAAAGTATTGAGAAAATTATTATGAGGATTTAACATTCATTATCATTGCCCATAAGATGCACACTGTGAGTTTAGTTTATTGTCTTTATACATAGATTGCTTTACACAAAGAAAATCACCAATGAGTCAATTAATAATACTATCTATCTCACCTATTTGCCCCTTTTCTTGATTTTTGGAAACATTTTCTTTTATCTTGTGTTGCTGTCAGTAATGTCAATAACATTATAATAATTAAAATATTATTTACAATAATAATAGCATAGCACTAGTGAAGTTAGCATTTTTTCCAACTTGTGGAGCCATCTATGAGCAGAAACACTTCATAAAAATACTTCAATGAGCTCTATACATTCCCAGCAACACAGGTTTAAGGCTACATTAATTATCAAGTCTGTGTAACCTAAACTATCTTTTGAAACCAAAACAAGGATTTTTCACCCCATTTTTAGAGGCTTTACCCATACCTCTGATGGTCTCCTTGAGAGTTAGCCTCGAGTGTTCGCAGGCAGCCAGAGAACTGACCAAGGTGTCTTTGGATGTGTTTATGGCAGAGTTGACCCTGTTGTTTGCAAAGACAGAGATAGCCTGGCTGGTCATCTCCTCCAGGCCCGCAATGTCCCTCTCGATCATGCTCTCTCCGCCCTTTCCAGTGCCCATCTTGCAAAATCCTGGAAGAAATAAAGTTTAAGTTACCCTGATTTTCCAAATAGCAAAAAAGCTTATGAAATGAGCTGCATACCCAATTGAAACAGTATAGGAAGCAATACTTAAGTCTATGAATGCAAATGAGACACTAGATGAAGGGAATCACACAAACTGTACATCTTACTAGATTTTAACTAATACAATGCAATTACCAATATATCAGTACTAATGACTAGTAAACAAAACAACACAGCTATAATAAAGAATTTAGCTTACAAAACTAGGCAGCGATTAGACAAACTTGCAGTACCACAAACTTTCTTTTATAACTACTGGCACTTAATTGTTTAGGACAGAGTTAGAACCAAAATAAGATCAAAGAGATTCAATGCATTATCAAATAGTCCTACAAGAACACCCAATAAAAAAGATCCAGGGGATATAGACTAGATAATAGTCTAAAACCCTATAAAAGAAGAAAGAAGAAGAAGAAGAAGAACACCCAATATGTAGGCTGTTTACTTTAGTTTCCTCTTTGCTTATCAGTTACCTGTAAGCTACATCTTGTCACAATATATGGTGAGAGAGTCATTGGCCATTGCCAGAGCACCAAAGGGCATGAGATCACTGACAGACCGAGGGGGGTGTGTGACTAAACATTCATCTTGTCCTAATCAAATAACAATAATCTGCATAATCATATTAATCAAATCAAAGTGACTATATGCATGAAACAAAGAACTAAATTCATTTTAAAACTACCATGATTCTTTTCTTTCCGTAGCCTTAATTTTGTCCCTATAAACAATAGTTATCATAAACCTAAACAAAGCCTATAACAAGGGCCATTGATAACTGGACTCTCCTATGTAAACGGGAGATTGCAATTTCCTCTAACATCGTATAAAATGTCATAACGACTGATTATTTCTCTTGGAATATGACCAGAGAGAATTAAAGCCCATCTTGGCCTTTTATTCGTCTCGTTTTGAAATGACATTTGCATAATTCACTTGCAATATGCAATTCGACATTCAGTAGCTGTACAAATACTCTTTTCATATATAACAGAAGCCTTTAATACTCTATAGGAAGAAAAAACACTTTAAACAGTACAGTACACACAGAAAAATGAAGAAAATAGGAAAATACAAACAGGAAAATACAGAAAACAGTACAGTACAAACTGATAAAAATACAGAAAATAGGAAAATACAAACAGAAAAATACAGAAAACAGGAAAATACAAACAGAAAAATACAGAAAATACCTGATACAAACAGAAAAATGAAGAAAATAGGAAAATACCTGATATAAACTCCACAGAAAAAAGTCTCGACTTCTTGACTTGTGTTTGAAATCTGCTTCTCGCTGCGTCGACTCCTTCAGAACTTTTTCGTGATATTTTTCATTCTTTTTTTTACAACTTCAATTTATCATTATCTTTTTACTGGTGATATATATTCTTAAGTTTATCAGATGGTAAAACTGATCGAATTCAAGTGAGAGATAAAATAAGTCTCTTTGCTTTAGCTTATTATTTGAACGCCAGGCAGTAGAATGGATTCAAACTTCGGTGAAAAGGATCCAACAGATGCAATCAGTCTTCATTAGTCGAAACTCACAAGACGAAATACACGAATTAAAAGTAAACGAACATTAAGTAGAATCTCCAAAATCTCCAAAAAAAATATGAGCCTACATAACCAAACATAAACAAACATAAATAAACATAGACAAAAAATGCACTAAACTAACCCAGGCACGACGGAGTACAACCGCCCTCGAACACAAACAAACGGGAGAGCCAAGAAAGCCAAAAGAAAGAAAATAGAAGAAAGAAGAAAGAAGAAAGAAGAAAGAAGAAGAAGAAGCCAAGACACGGCCGTCGTTCCTCCTCTCCATCCCCTTCATAAGTGCAATAAGACAAAATCAACAAGATGGACGGGTCTCCGGAGCCAACGGTGATCGCGAGGACCCTAAGGGATTTCAACCAGTTTATATCCAGCGGCAAGAAGAGCGGAGACTCGGCCGTGGGCAGAGACTCGAGGCTGAGACTCGACTTCTCCGAGGCTTTTGGTGATTCCTCGAGTTTTCTGGAGGACGACTCGAGGGTCAGCGTGGGAAGGTCAAGGAAGCGGCAGATCGATGAAATGACAGGATTAGGTATGGAATATGTTATAGTAGGTTGGATAATTCTATGCCAGTCTGGGGCGGGATACTCAAAACAGTTTACAATGTTGTATCTCGCATTGGAGCAGTTACAATGTTGTAACTCCTCCGAAGCCATACTCAAAACTAAAATAGCTGCCATGTTATGACGTCACACATTGTAAAGTACCTTGTAAGTTACAACTGCTCGGGAGCTCTTGTAAGGGTTTCAAACCGGATATATTATGGGTTATTTCCCGATTACTTAGTCGACAAAAACCTTTATTAGACAGTAACATGCTTTTTCCATATGTAATACCGGGGAATTTCAATTGTCTAGCATACTCTCTGTTTTCTATGCATTATCGTTATTTTTAATTAAATATAAATTGACTGTAAATTGAGTTGACAGACGACACACAACAATGTTTTGGTGGCTGCTCATCCTCATGACCGAGCATTGCAGCGCGAAAGATATTATTATGGGGAATCATTAGATTCACGCTATGGAGAGGATAAGCATTTATTGCGATATCACAGATTTCTTAGATTTGTTTTACTATAACCTTCTTTGATGCCAAATATCCAACTAGACAATCCTTTTAAGAATTATTATTCTGATAATCAGTGACTCTTCCATATTTATGTATAAATCAATTTACTTTAGCATGAAATTATGATTTTTTGCCTTATACCTCTGAAAAAAAAGTATGTAAGTCATATGTGAGACCTGATAAACATATTGTTAACAGTATAGGAAATAAGTCTTTCAAAAATATTACTCGGGGACAGTCGCTGGGCCTTCCATGGAGTTGGTGACCGTTGGGGGTGTGGCAATAAGACAACCATGGTTCTCCATTGGTTGTTACGTCTAGCAGGCTGACTGCTGATTGGTCAATCGACTATCGGCCTGCCCTTTCTTTGTAGTCAATGGAATTAACTTACAATGTAAACACGGCCCTTACAATGTGCTTACTACATTGTAATTATTTTTTGAGTATAGGTGTGTTACAATGTGGTAAGGAGTTCGTATGGTACGATGTAGTAAGGCGGTTACAACGTCCTCGGCCTTGTAACTTACGGGTTGTTTTGAGTATCCCGCCCCTGGTCTGCTCATTGTATGTGTGCTTTGGATAGACAGGTTGGAAATTACCAGGGGTAGGACCACACACAATAAAGTCGTAGTGTCTGTGCATTGTAGTTTGGCAAATGCAAGTGGGATTCCGCTTAACAGGGATGGTGAAAATTTTGATCTTGCAAGAACGTATGTGGTGGATTTGTTTTGGTCTGTCCTGAGGGGAGGCATCTTGGTCAATGCAGGTACACTGTGGTGTTTAATTATGTCATTAACCTGCACATGCACAGATTAATTTTTGAAATAATGTCATAAATTCAATTCCATTATAAAGATATATATTTTCTTTCTTTTTTTGTAACCCTGTGCTTTAGAAATATTAAAGTAATTTTTTTTAACTAAAGCTTGATGTGAAGGAGTTTTGAATAAACACTGTTTTGGCAAATCTTATGGGAACGCCTTTGCCAGCTGTCTTGATAAAGGTAGTTATGGGAATACTTATTTAGGCATGAAGTATACCAAATGGGATGTTGGGGAAAAAATGAGGTAAAAGGTAATAGGTAATTTTTCACAATACCTTTGCATAATCAAATGTGATGATTTTGGTATTAAGGGAATCCTCTCACCCACTAGCACATATATGGAAGAATTATGCTGCATAACCCTCCCCAAATCCCCACATCCTTGGCCTGATAGCAGTGGAAGGAAATTGTGCGGTAAACTAACAATAATATGATAACATGATAACATAATGATGATCATACCTCACTGCTGAATGCAGAGGGTTGTGTGCCCAGTACTCCCCCTCCATGGGGGGGCTACTGCTCCCCAACCCCTATCCAGAAAAACAAAGAATCCTCTATATATTCACAGTAGGATAGAGCATATGTCC